TTTTTTTTTTTTTTTTTTTTTTTTTTTTTTTTTTTTTTACAGCAAGCATCAGGTTTGCAAACAAACTGGAATACCAGGGAGTCAGTCTTCCTCTACAGTGAGCGAAAGATAGACCTGTTTTATTAAAAAGTCTGTCCTGGTTTTAAGGTGCCATAGATGAGCTTTCACTTACTGTGAGGTAATAGCATGCCCACAGGCTATCACAGAACAGTAGATAGCAGCAAGTCTATGCACCTTTTTTTACAACATTGGGGCATAAGAACACAAGTGCCATACTGGGTCCAGCCAATGGTCCCTCTAGCCCACTATACCATCCATTTCTGCAACCGTTGGAGACAGGATTGAGGAAGAGAACTGAACAAGATCACTGGAACAATCGATCCCCTATTCAATACCCTACCTGGCATCTATCATTTATTGGGTTAGAGATGCCAGAGAAGACATCTCCATTCATTCTGTTCAATAACTATTACTAAATCTAGCATCCATGAATTAAATTCACCCAGTACCATTTTGAACCTGGCTATGCAGTTTGCCTCTACCACCTCCTGTGGCATTTAATTCCACAAGTTAACTACACATTGCATTAAAAATAAAAAAGTACTCTCTTTTTAGTTTTAAACCTCCTACCTACTGATTACAGCAGGTGAAATTATTTCTAGTATTCCGAGACATGGTGAATAACAGCTCCCTGTTCATTTGGTCCATACTCTTCATGACTTCATAGACCTCTATCATATCCTGCTCTCCCTTTTCCTTCTCCTTTTCAACCCAAGGAGACAGTTTTTTTAGTCTCTCCTGGCATGGCAACAGCTCCAGGCCCCTGAACATTTTGGTTATCCTTCTCCATGACTTTTCTAATTCTACTACATCCTTTTTGAGATGTGGGGACCAAAAACGCACACAGTATTCAAGATGTGGATGCACCATAAATTTGTATAGTAGTATGATGATGTTTTTCATTTAATTTTCAATTCCCTTCTTAAACGATGACAACATTTTATTGGCTTTTTGGTCGCCACTGCACATAGTTCTTTAAGTGTCAGCTCAAATGTACAATGACTCCAAGGTCTCTTTCCTGAATCTTAACAGCTAGGTCAGAACCCAGCATTATGACAGTTTCCCCAGGTGCATTACCTTGCACTTTCTGGCACTGAAGTTCACCTGCTATTTTTTGGCTTGCTCACTCAGCTTGGCAAAAGCTTTCTGCAGCTCTTCTCCTTCAGCTTGGGTTTGACTACGCATAATAATTTGGTGTCATCTACAAACTTGGAGATTTTACCAGGCACCTGTTTCCAAGTCATTGATGAAAACATTGAACAATATTGGGCCCAGCACAGATCCCTGCTGGCCTTGTGTTTGACTTCCCTCTATCTTGAAAAATGACCACTTAGACCTACCCTTTGCTTCCTATCTTTTAACCAGCTCTCAGTTCATAAGAGAACTGGCAACATAGCTAGGGTTTTTTAAAGCCTTTGGTGAAAGACCTTGTTGAAAGTTTTTTTGAAAGTCCAAATATAATCACATGAACTGGATTCTTCTCATCCACAAGCTTGTTGACAGACTTTAAGAACTGCAGATGACTGGTGAGGAAGGATTTCTCTTTACAAAACCCATACCCAACAAATCATACTTGGCCAGGTGACTCCTGATTTTATTCTTTATTATAGTTTCTACTAATTTGCCAGGGATGGAAGCAAGATTCACTGGTCTGTACATCCCAGGATCAGCTGTAGAGCCCTTTCTGAAGTTGGGCATTATGTTGGATACCTGCCAGTCTTCTGGCACAGAGGCCACTTGTAACTATAGGGTACATACTATTGCCAGTAATCTTACTATTTCACTTTTGAGTTCCTTCAGAACTCTTGGGCGAATGCCATCCAGTCCCGGTGACTTTAGTATTTAGTTTATTGATTTGTTCCAAAACTTACTCTGATGGAAATAGCCAATCAGAGTGCTCCAAGAGTGGGGGAGCACCGCCATGATTCCAAAGCTGCGCCAAAGACTGGACAGAGAGTCTGGTCCAGAGCAGGGAGTCCAGAGCACTGCTGGCCTTGGCTCCCCCACCCCGCTCCCTGCAAGTGGTGCAGAGGACTGGGCTGGGGTAGAGGGAGCCTATGACCTGGTCCAACCCCCTGCACAAAAATCTATCCCTGTTAAATACTGTCATGGGTGACCAGCATTCCAGGTGAAGTTTTCCCACGCCATGTACAAAAGCATAAAGGAAATGGGTCTCTGTGTTCCTCTCCATGGACTACATGCATCTTAAGCCATGCAGGACTACTGAGCCAGCATGCAGAGGGAAACAAGGTTCATCAACAGAACTTCACATATAGCTGAATTGCATTAGGGAGACAGCAGGAGACATTTTAAGAAGAGGACGCTTGCAAAAAATATTTACTGTCTACTTTAAGGGTGGGAACTTATTGAAGTGTGCTTGGCCAGGAGGTGCCTTTCAAAGCCCAGGTCAAGCTAGGACAACAGGAAAGAACCTTCTGAATCAATGCTACACACCATGCCTCCCCACCACAGCACCGCTCCCTACCCCCACAGGTTTCCTTAGTACTATGGGCTGCACTGCCCCACCTCCTGGGGCAGGTGAAAGAAGTGGAAGCCAGAGGGAGGGTTAGTCAGAAACCCCACTGCTGCAGCCAGAGCAATGGGGGCAGGCCAGGGGAGGGGAGGCAGGTGAGGAGGGTGCAGTATAAACCCTTCAGCCCTACTCTGGAGGTTTAAACCCTTCAAGAAGTAGCTGAGGCCTGAGGCTAAGACAGCCAAAATATGGGAACTAAAGGCTTTAAAGAAAATGATCCTGTGGAAGAAAAATATTGCCAGGACAAAGTGCAGACATTAAAAAAATCCTAGCATCAAGAGTTGAATATTCAACAGGCATGTTGAGACACCCTGTTCTTTTGTGTATCAAGACAGACTAACATTAAGCAGTTCCGATGCACAAAGTACTTTAACATTCACAAGCGTCAGATGGATATAAATGTAGATGTGGCATTAGATCAACATCAGGAACATCTGCATGTGAAAGCACACCCCCAAACCTTATGGTTGTTTAGTTGGCATAAAACTGGTTATCTATTAATAAGAGAAAGTGTTCTGTGGTTCCACGTGGGTATACAGATTAGGAGAGGACTGGGTGAATTCAGTCTTACTGAAGAAATCTCTTTAAGCATCTCATAGATTCATAAATTATAGAGTCAGAAGGGACCCAGTGGATCATTGTGTCCAACCCCCTACCCCTAGCAGGAAAAAGAGGACTGAGGTCAGATGACCCCAGCCAGGTGACTGTCAAGCCTCCTCTTGAAGACCTCCAAGTTAGGCAACAGCACCACCTCTCTTGGAAGCCCATTCCAGACTCTGGCCACCCTTATTGTAAAAAATTTCTTCCTAATGTCTAACCTAAATCTACTCTTCACTAGTTTGCAGCCATTATTCCTAGTTACTCCTTGGGGTGCTCTGGTAAACAGCGCATCCCCAATTCCCTACTGTCCTCCCCTGATAAATTTATAGGTGGCTACAAGGTCACCCCTCAGCTGTCTTTTGTATAGGCTGAAGAGACCCAGATCTCTCAACCTCTCCTTGTAGGGTCTTACACAGAGACCACTAATCATGCGAGTGGCCCTCCTCTGAACTCTCTCCAGATCCTCCGTGTCCCTCTTGAAGTACAGCACCCAAAACTGGACACAGTACTCCATCTGTGGCCTGACTAATGCTGCATAGAGGGGGAGCATCACCTCCCCTTGATCTGTTGGTCATGCATCTGCTAATATATGACAAGGTATGATTGGCTTTGCTGATGGCCTCATTGCGCTGCTGGCTCATATTCATCTTGGAGTCAACTATAACTCCAAGATCTCTCTCAGCCCCTGAGCTGCTGAGGAGGACATCCCCCAACCTGTAGGTATGCTGGGGATTCCTCCTTCCTAGGTGGAGTACCTGACATTTATCTTTGTTGAATTGCATCCTATTACATTCCACCCATTGATCTCACTTGTCCAGGTCAGCATACAACTGCTCCCTGCCTTCTGGTGTATTCATTTTGCCCCGTGATTTGGTATCATCCGTGAACTTGGAGGGGGTGCTCACCACACCCGTGTCCAAATCACTGATGAAGATATTAAATAACACCGGCACAAGGACCGAACCCTGCAGGACCCCACTGCCCACCTCCTTCCAGGCCAAGTATGACCCATCAACCACAAATCCCTGGGAATTAACTACTGTTAAGTATGGGAATTAAATATTTGCAAAAAGGTTGAAAACTCAAAAAGAGCTATTAAAATGGTACAGAGCTATACACAATTACATTAAGCAAAATAGGTTGCAGAAGGGGAAGAGCCAATAGAAAAATCCACACTTTACTAGAAATTTCTCCTTCATTAAGGTCAAGGGGGGGGGAAAAAAAGGATTTTTTTTTTGCTTCAGGCAGGTATAGTAAGCCGTTAACACAGCTCTTTTAAGGCATTACTGATACATTGCATTAAACTGAATGGTCAAGTTAGATATCCACAAGTATAAAACGCAATATTCTATTTTCAGAGTTTCATGCCAGAGGAACAGTGGGTTGGACATACCCCAGTAAGACCCTAACCCTACATATACCTTTGATTTTTCCTCCTCAAATATCAAACAATCTTATCACCTTAGTCTTTGAAAAAAGACACAAGCCCAGATTTCAAATCGACTAATCTTCTATAAAACTGGTGACAACCTTCCACCCTAGATAAAGTCAATGTAAATGAAGCAGTTAAACCAACCAGGTATTCAAACCCAAGCCTATGAAGGAAAAATCAAATCAAATCATAAAATATCAAATATCAAAATGTCAGTAGGTACCAGTAAGAGCCTACGATCAAACATAATTAGAAGCTACTTGTAACATACCGTCTAGAGCAGGGGTAAGGAAAATTATGGCCCACAGACTGAATCCAGCCCACAGAGTCTTTGCCCAGGCTGCAGTAGGTCCTTTGGTCCCACCTGGCCCAGGCACCATCCGGCCTGTAGCGCATCCTGTAGTGGGGCTGGGTCAACTCTGCAGCTAGACTGCCTTTCTAGGCAGCAGGGGCTCCTTCCAAGCTACCGCTGCTGCTGGCCCCAGACCTGTGGTATTAGCGGGACACATGCACAGCCCTGACCCCAACCTGCCCTGCACTCACTCTAGACTAGCCTGCCCACACTGAGCAGCTGCAGCAGTGGCAGCAGCTGGGCAGAATCTGCTGCTTGGCTTGGGGGAAAAGCTGCCCCTCCCCTTCATCATTGCCGAGTCCTTGCTGCAGCTGCTTAAAGCTCATGCCCAGGGTGCCCAGCAACTCCTCTACACTGCCACTGCTGCCCTGCTGGGCAGCCCAGAGGTGGCGGTGATGGTGGTGGAAAGGAGCCGCAGGGTAGACTGGGCACAGGCTCTGGGCAGCTGCAGGAAGAAGGGCCCAGCAGCAGTAAGAGGGAGGGGCTGTTACCACTCTTCCAAGTGATGAGCAGCAGCTGCCGCCCAGCCACTGCTCAGCATCAGCAGGTGGTCTGAAGCAGGCACAGGGCAAGCCAGGGCTGTGTACTGTTGGTGGTGGGGAGCTTCAGGGTGCACAGGATGTGGGCTGTAGCAGGCGGGGGGGGGGTGCGTTCTGACCAGCTCGTAACAGCAACTCAGAAGTTGCCTGCCCCTGGTCTAGAGTCTTTGTTATGCCAACATGGAGCATGTACCAGCATTGTTTTTCCCCAGTATAATTAAAACAACCAGGTATCTGAATTCTATTTAATTTGAAATGTTGTTGAGGTATCAGGGGGTAAAGTGAGATGACAATCAAAGTTGCCTATTTCTAAAGAACCAGGAAGTCTGCTTTATGGAAATGTTATTGGGGATGGGAGGGGTTGCGGGGATGGGGAACCATGCTTGGCAAGAAAGATTACTAATGGCTCTGAAGAAGCAATGCCAGTAATAAAACACATAAGACAGCCGCTCATCACCCACCACCTTACAAATACGTTGGGGTAACCAATGAATGGAAGCTGCTGTAGAAAAGCTGACAAAAAACCACATAAAAAAAAAAAAAAAAACAACCACCACACACCAGCATTTGTAAGATGGCAGCAAATTCCAGAGGCGTGAATACTTTGGGTTTACTAGAAACAGTGCAGTACCAATAAAAGCATCATTCCTGGAAAGAAACATCAGGATAACTTAAAAACCAAGGTAAAGCCTGTGCATTATCTGGGATATAGACTGATCATTTCAGAGAGTGATTCCGATTTAAATTACATTATCCCTCAAGTTGTATGCATTTTTTTTAAAAATTCATTCCAATACATGCTTAGATTTTAGCATTTCTGGTCTGTGTCTCTACCCAAAAAAACACAAAACATGATAATATGCGCCATGAGTTTAAAAAAAAAAGAGACAGACATAACTACAGCACAGAACAAACACAATTTGTACAACAGGAAAATGAAATATATTAATAAACTTCATATTCAAAAAGAGATTTCCCAATTTGGGGTCCTTGAAAGAAAAGGCATCTGAGTATTTAATTCCCATTTATGCCTTTGAAAAGGTGTTACATTCCCTGTCCCCCTTCCCTCCCCAAGATGTTTAGTCATTATACCTGAGACTTTTCTTTTATTCCTGTATTTTTTATCATCTGGTGCTAGTTTACTGGACATGTCCTCAAATTTCTAAAGAAAAGGAAAAATATAAAAGTGAAGGTACTGCATGCAAAACGTCAGCTGTGGAATAATTTAAAAAAAGCTACTCTGATAGACAACGATGCATCTTGCTAAACAAACTAACAGTATTAGAAGTCACTTAAAACAATTCGTTAGAATGTGCCACAGTACTGTACACTGCACCTGAGACATCCTCTCTCCAGTGTCAGAATGCCCATGGACAGATTCATTAAATGGTAGTGTAAGATCTTCTGTTTCTAAGTCACCTGAAAAAAAAAAAAAAAGTACTTCAGTTGTACAAGCAGATACCATTAGCCAAGTAATGAAGGCAACAAGAAATAAATTGTATACTTATCAAGTAATTGCACATATTCAACAGAATATTAAAATTTGGCAACCTTCTTGATGCAAGGGGAAAAAAAGGCTACTGTATTTTCACTTGCAGTTTACAGAAATGCCTCCATTTTATATTGCTGCAGTAGCACTCTGTGGACACATCTACTAGGGCTGTTCAAGAGGGAACTGCATTTCATTTTGAATTTCATTTCAATTCGAAACAGCTGTTCCCCATTTTGCTTTGTTGAAACAGTGACACTGTTTTAATGTTTTGCCCATTAGCTATAATGGGGAAGCTCAAAACAGCCTCTCTCATCTGGCAGGCAGATCAGGGCTGTGGGCCCCCGATTTGCCTGCCAGATGATGGAGGGAAGCTGGTGCTGCCGCTTGGGACAGAGGAAGGGAACTGAGCCCAATTGCTGTTCCCATCCCCAGCCTGATTGTAAGGCTGGGGAGGCGAACCGAGCGATTGGGCTCAGTTCCTTTCCCCAGCTCCACTGCAGTGCTTGGGAGGGGAACTGAGCCTAGGATCAGCTCCCTTCCCCTGCGCTGTGATCAGCTTCCCGCAGCCCAGAGGCAGGAGATGGGGAGAGCCAGGGCTGTGCTCCTGGCTCCTGCTGGGAGCGCAGCTCTGGTTCTCCTCCATCTCCCATCACCTCACTGCTGGAGACTTCAAAACTTGAAACATTTTGACTAGCCTCATTTTGTTTCAAGGCTGTTTCGAAGCTCTTCGTTTTGATTCAATTTCGCTGTTTCAAGCTTGAAATGAGTCAAAATGGTGTCAAATCAAAACAGCCAGCAAAATTTTGCACAGCCTTAATATCTACACATGCAAATAACATAGCAATAAACTCTGGCGCATATCACACTGGAATTCATTGCTCCTGGGTGTTACATTTTCATGAGTGTCCAAAAACACATTGAGCCAGGTCACAGTAGCCTTGGTTGGCAGGGGACTCAGGGGTGGGTGGGGAGTCAGCTTGCCAGCCCACGGCTGCTCCAAGCCAGCTCAACATTCTGTGGAGGACCTGGCTGGAGCATGAGGGTGCTCCAATGCAGGGCTAGCTGGCAGCAACCCTGCACTAAAGCACCCTCGTGCCCTAGCTATCCCAGTTTCCATCTGCACATGCGCTGTGGAAGAGTACTTTACTCCGCTGCAGAATAGTACCTGTATGTACAAGTACTATCCTGCAGCAGAGTAAATTAGTTTACTCCAGCCTGTGTTGCATATGTAGATCCCGAGATTTTATACTCTGGAGTCAGTTAGTCAACTCTGCAGTAAATGTGTTGTGTAGATGTGCCCCGTGTATCTGAAGAATAAAAGTAACCCCCTATTCCAACAAAGGCAATCTTGAAGGAGGGGAGCACATTAAGGAAAGGGAAAAAGGCCAACATGTCAGAGTAATACCATATTTACTTGTATAACCACATGCCAAAAATCAGTTCTCCAAAAATTGGGCTGCATGTCTTAAGTACGGAAGGTGACTTTTTTTTGCTGGAATGAAAAAAAGCATGGAGATGCTGTGCTATAATGGCTGCCACTTCTCTCCAGGCAGCAAGCAGCCAGCCAGTTTTAACCTTTCCACATTTGTTGCCCAATTGGCAGCAGCTTTTGGCTGAGCAAGCAAAAGCTGCTGCCAATCCAGCAGCAGCTGTGACCGGGTTAACACTGTAGCTTTTGCCTGAAGCCATCAGTGAACTGGCTGAGGGAGAGCAAACTGTTGTATCAAGTCAGTTCTTAACCATGGCTTTGGGGGGGGGAAACCCGTATACATTCTACCTTTCAAAAAAAACAAACCAAAAACATGGTGCATGTCTTATTTGGGGGTATGTAGTATGTGATAAAATATGGTATATTAGTATATAGCACTACATACAGACATGACTAATACAGTGATTCTCAATAAGGGTGATGGTGTACCCTGGGGTGCAGCAAACTCCTTTTAAGGTTGCTGCAGGGTGATGCACAATATTAGCATTAAGTGTGCAAACACATGGAAATGATTCACAGGAAACACCCAGAGGTTTCAAGTAGAAATCCAAGGTGTCAAAAACCTAATGTCCAAGTTTGACCTGTTGATATCCAAGTTTGTTGTTTTTAAAACAGAGAAACTTCTCTATTGTTTTTCCATCATCAAAAAATTAGTGAAAGCTAAGAGCTGGCATCTTCCAAGGGATATTTTGAGCCTAATGAGGTTGAGAACTGATTGATTAATACCTCAAAAGGACCATGGTACCAGAGAAGCTACCACATCTTTAGGTATTAAGGTGCACGCAAGAGCTGAAAGACAAGGAATTATGTTCCAACAGAGCCATTGAATAGAAGACTAATGATATCATCTAAACTTAAACATTGATGTTTAAGATGCTATAACGCAGTGTTTCTCAACCTGTGGGTTGCAAGAAAAATTTAAAAGGGTTGTGGGGAGGTCCAAGGAGGAGAAGGCGAGACTGACCCACAGTGTGGGTCAGAGACCGGGAGGGCGTGGGTTATGGCAAGCTGATAGGTTATACTACTAGGTCCCAGTGTGAAAAAGGCCGAGAACCACTGCTGTAATGCATTATACCACACTAGTTTCCAACATAATAAAATTATAATAGGACTGTTTATGGAAAACTAGTACCTGCAACAGAAGCTTCCGAGAGACCATGAAAAAGAAATAGTAGACAGCAATGAATTCTTTCAGTTTGCAAGGATTTCAAACCAGCAGAAAAAAGTATTAGTAACAGTAAGAGACAAGCACTGTGATAAGGTTTGTTTGGGAGGGGGAGGAAGAAGAGGGAAGGAAAGGGAGGAGTTTGCATATACATCCTAACACACTTGAATAACCTCTTTACAATGGAAGAGCCCTATGCAGGGAAGAGAATTCTAAAATTTACATAAAAAACTTAGGAACTGAGTATGTTAATTCCCATGGATTAAATGCCAAAGCCTTCATGTAACTGCTTCCCCCCAAACCATTAGTAATGGAAGTTTGAGAATGAGCAAAAACTAGCCTGGCACAAAGAATAAATGCAAAACAGAATGAAGCCTTTTTTGAGCAAAGACTTGAACCGAGTAGTCTGGAGGGATGGAATCTATGTACCAGGAAAGTACAACAGTGAGCAACTGCCTGGTGCTTACCCTCTTCAAAACACTTTACATACAAACACTAGTGAAGCATTCCAGCTGCTAAAAAAGCACCAGAAGTTAGGCGATTAATGGGAAAGATGTGGGGGAGGCCATGCATATGCACAAACTTTTTTAGTAGACTGTATGGGATTTGTGGGGGGAAAAAAAAGACCCTCAAATACCAGATCTCACTGCAGACAAATCAAGCATTGCTGTACTGGATTTAGTTTCTTTCCTCAGTATATCCTGATGAACTCTCGGCCTGGAAACACCAACCTAAAACACAGATGCATTTTAAAAGAACTTATTTTGTTTATACAGTGTAACAAACAGTAGCATTACACAGGCTCTCTTTCATCTAGAGAGGCTTTTACAGGGAGATGCACTGAATCATGCAAGGGGGCAGGGACCCCTTTGATTTTCTAGGAGATTTGTGTACTTAAAATTAAGATGCACCCCTAACATTTCCTTCTTAGCACATGCAGGTCATTGTTCATATGACTCACTATGTTAAACCAAAAGCAGGGGGAAAGAAATACTTAAGGAATCTGGGGGAAAACAAACAAACACGCACATAACTTTATTTATGATGCATTCACAAGTCCCTTGGACATTATACAGTGTTCTTTAGACTCATGTTGACCAAGTGCCATCAGTTTTGCACATTTATTTCCCTACTACGCAACCTCTACAGCAGGGGTGGGCAAAATGTGGCCCATGAGCTGGATGCAGCCCTCCAAGCCATTCTATCTGGCCCGCAGGGCCCCTAAAAATTTTAGAAAATTAATATTAATCTGCCCTGGGCTGCCTGTCATGCGGCCCTTGATGGCTTGCCAAAACTCAATAAGCAGCCCTCCGCTCAAAATAACTGCCTGCCCCTGCTCTACAGCCTAACTTGTGTTCAGCATTATTGAGCCACCGAGCGAGCTCACAATCAATATAGGGAGCACGGGGATGTCTGGGAATATGGGCCCAAAGAACTGCCTAACAGAGAACAAGTCTACTACCAGACAGAAGGTGGCGGCATGAAGCCTCCTCTCCAGAGGACGAAAAGTAACAGCATTTTCAGGCTTTGGAATAGGCTCCAACTCTTCAATGTTTTTCTGGGATGAAATATGACCTTCAGAAGTCTCCCCAGTTTTGAATTATGCATGCTTGTTTTCGCCCCGTTTCCCAAAATTACAGATAGATAAAATAAAAGGGAACTTGTTTGACAGCACTTTACACTTTCCCTTTTGTGCTAGGACTTAAATTGAAGACAGAAAAAAAAAACCTAGAACAGAATAAAAACTCTACACCTCTAACCTTTCAAAGATGTATGTATTTTCAGTTACATTTAGTAAATGCTTGTAGTGAACACACTCCTACTGCAACTGTAGATGGAAAAAATTTGAAGAGCATAGCAGTGGATTAACTAGGTAACATTGAGAAGGGTTTCCTGGACGACAAGCGCCTGTGCATACTTTGATATGCAATCTATAGACAGTTAGCTAGAGTGTCTAGCTTTACTTTAGTTGTGTAAATTAAGCAATATATGTCCCTTCAAAACCGGTTGTTGTAGATGCATTTTAGTATTAACATATAACCTTGACTAGAAAGCAGTAATTCAAAATTGCACATAAATGTACTTCATATAAGTAATGCTTTAATAGAGGTGCAGTCCAAGTATCAGAATAGTTTCTTACTTTCTTTGTCTGGTAATCACTGCCACTACTTGCAGATGACAATGGCAACACTGCAAGAAAAAAAAAACCCACAAACAGGCACAAAGATGACTCCATTGCTGCTGACATTGTACCAGTCAAGTTAAAACCTCATGAGACAGCTTTATTTTCTTAGAACTTACAAGGCTTAACATCGTGCTTATTTATTTCCCCCAATTGCCTAATAATACAAATCACAAGTTACATTAAGACTGCTGCCACTCTACACCCGAAGAAAGAGGTAGACCTTGCTGTTTACCTGAAAGACTCATCTGAATTCTGGCAGACAGATATGGAAACTGGAACAAAGTTGAAGGACCATGACTGAACTCAACCTGAAGCTCTTCCCTCCCTCCCAATCACCTTCCTTTCTTTTTCAAAACGCCCACAGAGTGTCTATGAGTACCTGCACAGACTTCATGCAACAAGATGGGAAAACAGATGTTATAGCTGAATATAACCTGAAGAGGTTATATTAACAGCCCATCTGTAACCTGATAACTCACCTAATATGCAACAAACTTTTAAAATGGGAGACACCATCAAAGCTTATAATGTCCATATTATTCTTTTCTCACAAGAGTACCTAGCGCAGAGGATAGGCACTTGTAAATCTACATAAGTAAAGAAGATGGCAACCTCCTTCTGCATTAGCTTCCCCAGGGTCTGAAGATGCAGCCCTGTAGAGACACATTTCGTGAACAGGACAAAGCAATGAAAAATTGCAACTGGATCTACAGACCACAAGGAAAGACTCTCTCATTTTTGCTGGGCAAAAAATAGAAAGCAGCACTTTAAATCATCACCACCTGAGCTGCTCTCTCTCATCTCACACATGGATTACAAACAAGCATTTTGCATGCCAGATACACTCCCACTCAAGTCATGGATAAGCAGGTGTCCTAGCCCACTGGTGAACCAACAGGATTTCAGCATTACTCAGATGGAGCCTCAGTCCCACAAAGGCTGAGTAACCCTGACTTGGACTCAGTCTTCTGTTCTACTTCACTGTGGAGTGTGCCACGCAACATATTGCACTCACCTTTCAACTTACTTCTGAGCCTTGGCCTTCTCCGGGTATAGTCCTGACTTTTTGGCAATGGTTTTTTCTGAGAATCAAGGATCCAGCTTTTTTCACTTTGACTATTGCTTGTAGTTTCATGGTTACTTTCAGAGAAAAGATGCTTCCTATAATCAGACTAAAGATACTAAGAAGTCAGTTCTAACTTCCCCCAGAAAAACTGCACTGCCATTTTTAACTAGCCCAGTAGCAAACACCCAGCTCAGCACAACCCATACAACTCATTCAAAAGAATTAAATAGCTAGTTGTTTAGTCTGGGTCAGAACAGCAGTAAGAGATGAGATGCTACAACAACCCCTTCTCCCACCAGTCTTGTTTTTGTAATAGCTTTTATTTTTTTAAACCCCACTTCCCCTACACACACACACACATACTCCCTTATTGCTATGAGAAACCCCAAACAGAAAGAGAAACTGGCTGTATGATGGTCAGGGTGCCAAAGGCGCCAATTAGCAATGTGAAAGCATTATTTTTCCCCTTTAATCTTTGGTTACAGCAATCACAAATAGTAGAGGTCAGTTCTAGACGGAAGAGTGGAACCAGTCCTCTTTGGGCCACTGCAGCAGTGGAAAGAGGCAAGTAGATAATACAGCGCAAGGGATTTCGCAGCTAGTGCACAGCGTTGAGTGTCTGCCTTCTGCAGTAGCACCCCAACACTGCAGCATGCCAGGGCTGCAAAGCAATGTAGCCAAAGTGATACTGTTGCTCTGGTTATTATGAGCAGGTAAATGGCTCTGGAGTCAGCTGCTAACTAGCACAATTTAGGACACCCTTGAGGCTAATCTTAGCTAGGGACACAGGTATCCTGAGGATCAAGGAGTTGCAGCAAGCCCTCTACTTCCACTTGCTGTATTATGAAAAACTGGGAATTTCTTTTTGCAGAGAACTTCTGACCTGCAACAGTACAGCACTGATACGCCACCGTCATGTCATGAAAGGAAGATTTTGCAGGTTTGCTGCCTCTTCAAAAATGTGCATGTGACCTTAAGGCTAATGAAAAGTATTGGACTTACACCCTCATAGCCCTTCCAAGTCACAGGCCATTAAGCAGCACCATCAGTCCAGAGCCACACATCAACAAGAACCAGGTCTTTTCTCCACCTTAATCATTCATTCTAGGCCCCTGCTCCAAGCTGGGCCCAGTCAGCCTTTTTACAAATTAGTTGCCTCAATTTCAATCCAGAGTGCCAGGCACAAGAAAACCAATTCATTGGTGGTCAAGAGCTGTGCAGAAAGTTTCTGGTCACAAGTACTAGAGCCCACAACATGTTTGTGAAGGGAGGGGAAAGTTTGGAGGGAGTAACTCTGAATGGGAATAGGAGGTTTCTCAGTTAATGTCTTGGGAAAAGCCTAATTATTTATTTAGCTGTAGAAACAAGCCATGTTTATTACTCCACAGACAATATTCTACACAAGTACTTTGCCACAGGAAAATATGAGCTACCTACCAGTCTTCTACTGACTTTGCTTGATTCTCGTTTTGCACTTCCATTTTCATAAACCCTGTTAAGTAACCCAAAATTGTGTACATTACAACTAATCAAAGAAAATTAACAAGACTGCTATGGAGCCTGCTGGTGCTGGAGCAAGGGTAAGTGGTGGGGACGGGGAATGAGGGAGTGGGGACAGGGGCCCAAGCAGTAGGGAGCAAGCTGCTTGCCCCTACCACCCCTCTCCACCCCCACTGCCTGCCTGCCATCTGACACACTTTCCCCACTGCAGTGATGGTAAGGATGAATTTAAAGATGACCCTCCAATAATTAAGTTCTATACATGGACAATTATAACAATTTCTATGTATAGAATCTAATTATTGCAAGTAGTTTTAAAAATTCAGAGTCATTTTGGATTTGGGTAAATATGATGTTCGTAAGAGGAATCCCATTGTTGAAAGTGAGCAGAATTCACCAGTCTTAACTATCATCTTTTCATCAACTCCTACATATATTCCCATTTGTGACAAACTACTTGGATATCTGTAAGGTCTCCAGAACTACTATCTTTAAGAAAAAACATTAAATACATAAAAATACATTGGCACTTTCCTTTTTGTTCCTAATTAACGGAGAAATTGCTTTTTATAAAAAGCATTGTGTTCTTTATCATGCAAGATGTAAGTACATATATGGTCCTGTACCTTTGGCCAAGAATTTTTTGTTTTGCTTCAGTGACCTAGAAAAAAAAAGAAACCACATTTCAAAGTTCCAATATCCCACAGAATAAGTGTTCTAATTTTATTAGATGAAAATACGTATGCTTATTTAAAACTAGCGTAGCATCTGTCAAAGGAGGGATTTATGCTGACAGCTAGTGGCAATATTAAGAGTTGCGGAAAGTCCAGTTTAATGGCAGACATAATGTGAAGAAAGAACAACAGACCATGATTGGGGTAGGAGCTATATATGAAACCAAGTTTAGAAGAGCTAATGTACATTTAGTGAATGTAGCTTAACATACTTTCAGAGCTCCATGTAAATCAAAATAAAAGTAATGACATGACTGAAATCATAAAGACATTTCTGGTTGCTGCAGCTGCAACAGGAGTATTACCCCATCCTCCCCCCCCCCCCCCC